GTGATAACACCTTTTTCATTTTTACCTACTACTGCTTCAAAAATTAAAGCTACTTTAACGTGTCTTAGTTAGCAATGGTGTGACAACTATTAATAATACTACATATTTTGTTTTTAACGTTCTATTTAACATATACTACCTTTTGTAAAAAATATATGCAGATAAATAATGTTTCTGTAGATTTTATGCATAGAGAATGTTAGTAAGGGAAGAGATTTTAAATATATGTATAACTTACTGTTTTTTCCCATTTTAAATGATACTTTTAAATCACTACTTTTGTTTGTCTGGAAATATACTGAATATTTTATTATTTAAAATAGTATACTTTTATAGCTGTTTATTAATTTTGGTTGACTACTAACTTCTATTTTGATATTTATTAATGAGTTGACACTGTAGTATACTGAGATGTTTATTTTTCTATCAATCAGAGCTGTAACAACTATGACATGGCATTATTTTAATGCAACATCATTGTACTTGCTCTCTAAAAAATAAAATCAATAATTAATCCATGTGGAATTTTCATATTTTTAATGCTTAGTAAATATGTGATAACTTGAGGAAGAGGTGTTGGCCTCTTTTTTATAACATAAAGCTGTTCCATTAAGGGGTGTAAATATGTCCACAAGAGGAAGTGTATGATTACAGTGGTTTTAAAATGAAATAAAATTATAAGGAGAGAGAAATCAAAATATGAAAAAGTACTGTGTTTATTAGAGGTAGATAAGCAGAGGAATGCATGTTCAGGACAAACTTTGAGAATGTGGGAAAAAATAGGTGAGCAGTGACCACTTTGGAAGTACAGCTGCTTAACTTTGTGCTACCCAATTGACACCTTAACGCAGCTTGTAGGGGACAAGAAGATCCTTCTTATAGAAATAATTTGTCAATTAATAGGTTGTTACAGTACCCTTTCTTTTGCTTTGCTCTAACTGGGCAGTAGAGGAGCTAGTGCTCTGGGAATGGGTGAATTCTGAGCAGATGCCTCATCTGTGCCACCTACGGCAGCGTTACGTTGCTTTATGAGTACCGGCAAAAATGCATCAGTAATTTGGGACGGTGTCTGCATTCTCTTCTTGGGTAGAATCAGTCATAGAGGTTGCTTTACAAAAAAATGCCATGAAATTTCTCATGAAAAGGATTTCACAGGTACTGTGTCAGGACATTCACAGTTTGCAATTTATGAGCGTTGCATCACTAAGAGATGGCTGTGGTACTAGGAAGCTGTCCCACTTCCAAACTCCTAAATGACATCGCTAGCTATTGAACTCTCTGGTGCACAGGAAAGTTCATGTTTTTAACATTATCTAGTTTTTGCTCTGAGGATGAGAGTTAGATTCAAGTGACAGTTGATACATGCGTAGTCATTGGGTCACTTAGTCTCCAGGACTTCCCAGTACAATAGGAAAACCTAGGAAAAGAGGTACAGCAAAACTAGAAAGAAAGAATAAATGCGTATTATGATAACAGCCTGTGCGTCTTTATTGCTTTTTTATCAAAACAAGGAACATAATCTCAGTATATGCTGAAGAGATTACGGCTCAGAAATGTCATTTCACAGAGACGAGAGATCCATAAACATTCACCAACACATATATCCAGTGACACAAACTGAGAAATACACGTTTTTCCATGAAAGCTCTTTGTAGAGGGAACATTAATGTTTTCACCAACTCAAGGTAAATGTAAGCCTAGATTTGAATTTCAGACATATAGTTCAAGCATGTAACTTGAGCTACAGACATAGAGCTGCTTTTCTGTCAGTTGATATGTAATATGGAAGAAATCAGTGTTATCATTAACCGTAAGTCCCTATAAACACTGATCCTGGCACCAAGCTGTGTTGCGTACCCTATATGTTGTGGAATGATGGTAAGTGAGCTGTACGAACTCTTCCTTTATTACTGCATCCTAAAATCCAGTTATTCAAACATGCCTATATACTTTAATATGTCCAGCTAGTGAGATTTTTTTGGTACTATCCAGTGATGCCGAGTATTGAACTAGTTTTCATTCACTTCCATGAAGTTGTCAAGGGAGGGCACAACAATGCCCTAATTTGGCTCTGATGTAATGCAACTGATATTTTATTGCAGATACCATTAACAAGAAAAAGTCTTGCTGCTCAAGCTCTCGGAGGAGGAAAGAAACTTAAATTACAGCCTCTAAACCCGGAGGAGGAAAGAAATCATCATTTCAGCCACTTTTTTGACAGCAGTCATGTAGGTGAACACTATTATAGAATTTTTCTCCCTGCATGATTCCCCTTGTATTGAGTGCAGAATTTGATCTGATATACAGAGAGGATGGGTGGAGGAGAGTCTGTCATTGGGGATCATTGTACATAAGCTATCTACTCAGCACAGTGGTTCGAGTGAAGATCTGAATATGCATGATGACAACCAAACAGTGATTATTAGAATTAGGAATAAAGACTTTGTTAACAGGCTGATCTTAACTAGTAAAGTGTTAATCTGAAAAGTAGGTGATTTCTTTTCCTTCCAGGTCTGCAATAAAGACAAGAATCCTGGAAATACACTCCTGCTACCCTGGGTTTAAAAAAAAAAAAAAACAGTTTAAATGTACTGTATGAATTAAATAAAAAATCCAGTTTTACAGAAACCCAAATGGTCTGAAGCTGTGTTAGGAGCAACAGTCTCATTAGTGTGGTGCTGGGGCTTCTAACTGCTCAGTGTTTTACTTCAGAGTTTTGATGTGCATCCAAATTCTGCTTGTACAGCATTCACATTATCTAGACGTAAGCTGTAAGTCTTATTTATTAGGGCTAGAGAGCAGTCAACATTATCAACTCCTGGTCTTTCACGCTAAGGAAACTGTGGTGGGTGGCACAGAGCAGTTTCTTCCTTTTTTGCAAACCATTCTGTCATCTGCTTAGCCCAGAGCATAGCGTGGCCTCCAATTGTTTTTTTGGCCTTGTACTGCATGATTCATGTAGAACAGTTACTGTTTAATAAAGGCAATGTGAATGCAAGTTGATAAAACCAAATGATTAACCACAAAACATAATACTGCCAAATTATGTCATGTTAAGCTTACTGAAATCAGTGTATGTGGTGTGTTTCATTCAGCTTTGCAGCTTGATAAGTCCCCTTTTTTGACTCCTAACCAAAATTTCATCTTAAGCCTCTGTTTTGTGCTTTTGAAACCTAGAGAGCGCAGGACCTGTCCCTCACTGGGGTTCCAGTGCCCTCATAACTGCTTACAGGAGCAGCCTTCCCCACAAATCCACTTCTGACTCCTTAGCCTGTGACTATAGCCCTAACTCAGTCCTTCTGAAAGCATCACTGAAGGTTCGAAGTGCGTGGTTTAACCGCTAAGGAAATCGGGGACATGTCAGTTGACAGGTTTTGCACAGAATTTTTAGCTATTTCTTTGCTTTACTTCACAAAGCAGGAGTTTTAAAGACTTCTACAATTTAAACACAGGGCTCTTTACCTAGATTGCTGGTGTCTTCAGAAGTGTTTAAGATGGAATACAGCTTGTGGTTTGTCTTCTGTCCTTGAATCATTTTGTAGCCTCACCCAGGCTCCTGTGCAAAAAAAATCCAGCTTAAAAGGAAGCACTTCCCATCTTTCTCAGCTTCTTGTGCATTTCTCCATAACTAGATTGGGCTATTGGAGGTTTCTCCCTCTGTGCCTTCTTTGAAAATTGTAGGCAATGAATCAAAAGGCTTCATTAGCAAGCAGCTGGTTTATTCTGAAAAGATCTTTTTTTATTATTATTTTTGGGCAGACAGGAACAAGTTCAAGAAAATTCTGTAAAGTAAAGCTAAGCAGTGCATCTCCCAGCCTGGTCAGATGCAGCAGCAGTCACATTGGTCCTTTCCAATATTAAAAAGTCAGAGCTATTTCTTGGTGAACTAGCCAATCCTGAAACACTCACAGGGATTTTCTAGCTCTAAATCCGGACCCCTCACAGCTTCTGCAATGTGTATGCAACATACAACAAAGACACATTTCCCTTCAAGTACCATCATTTTGATGACAACTTTTATTATTTGTAAATATATGTTTATATATGTTTTTATATGTGTGAGTGAGTCAGTGAGGGAGCGTATTTCATCCAACTTATCTTTTCTTCAGTATCAAAAAGTCTACCTCATATTGCTAAGTAGCCTGTCAGGCCAAGCTATATCGCTTACTTTTTTTACATTTAAAATCACAGAGAACCACAGAATGGCTGAGGTTGGAAGGGACCTCTGGAGGTCATCTAGTCCAACCCCCCTGCTCAAGCCAGGCCATCTAGAGCATATTTCCCAGGATCGCATCCAAGCGGGTTTTGAATATCTCCAGAGAAGGAGACTCCACAACCTCTCTGGGCAACCTGTTCCAGGGCTCCGTCGCCCTCACAGGAAAGAAGTTTTTCCTCAGGTTCAGATGGAACTTCCCTGTGTTTCCATTTGTGCCCGTTGCCTTTCGTCCTGTTGCTGGGCACCACGGAGAAGAGTCTGGCCTCATCCTCTTGACACCCTCTTTCAGATACTTGTACACATTGATGAGATCGCCTGTCAGTCTTCTCTTCCCCAGGCGGAACAGGCCGGTCTCTCTGAGCCTTTCTTCATAGGAGAGATGCTCTAGTTCACTTACTGTTTTCCTACTTTCTCGTGCATAGAAGGATCTTCCTTTCAAAATTCCTACACATTTTCAAATTTGTCTTGATGGGTAGGCTGCTATCACAGCAAAACCACTGCTTCAAGTGATGTCCAAAACCCATCTCCTTGAGAGATGAGTTGTGCTTTCCTGTTTATCTTTTCTGTCTGCTGTCCTGCATATTAAACCTAAATCATGGAAAACAGACACAGCACCTTGCACAGCATATTTTTGGTTCATGACTAGGTTCTAATCATGACATTACAGAGAATAAATGAATACCTCATTAGTCAATTTATTGCTTGTGCCTTTGAAAGTGATCTCTTCATTTTTAAAAATGAAACAATCAAAAGAAAGAAGAGATAATGGCTAACGTGTCAGGTCATTTTGCAAATCAATAAAAAGTGACATTCTCAGAAGGGAAATCCATTGTCATATGACAAAGTTCTATGCTACCTAGAATGAAAGCCAGTTAGATCAATTTCCAGGCAAAAAATATAAAACTTTTTAGTTTCAACACTTTTCTCTGAGGTTTGAGTCTTTAGGGTTGCTGGGCCCTTGCAGTTCAGCTGAAGACCATTATAAGTGAATATACTGAGCACCTTTGAGTATGAAGTCCTTAAACTCCCCTTTGAGAGCAGGCACAACAGGTTCAGAAAGTTAATGTTTGTAACACATGTTGTATTCATCCATTGAAAAGCTGATATTTGTCTTACAGGATGCATTTGTCAAGCCAAAACATAAAAAGCTTTATTTATTTTCTTAGCTGATGATCCTTCTTGGCTCACAAAGAATTTATTCAAGCAGCTGTTGTAGAGTGTTCTTATATTTTGTGTTTATCCCTTTTTCACTCACCGAGAACAGAGTTTGGATTTGAACTATCTGAAAATAATGCAGCATGTAATTCACTGTGCTACCTTTTCCTGAAAGAGTTTTGCCTGCCTAGTTAGCGGCTTTCTGAGTGTGTTAATGAAAAATGTACTAGATCTTTTGTGAAAAAATGAATATTTAACAAGTGGCTCCCAATATCACTTGAAATATCTTGAAGGAAAGTAGGTTACTGAACTTAATTAATATCATCTGAGCAATATGATACATTCAATGACTTAGTTCATATGGAATTCAATACCTTGCCAAATTTTACTCCTTACTTGTTCAGTGCCCAGTTACTACTGCTCATCTAGGGCAATGCAGATGCTTGCCAGCGAAGTGAAGTCTGCAATGTCCTTTGAATTAGTGAGATAAGGGAACTACTCTTGAGCAAGCTTTGGCAAAGATGACTGTTATAATTTTGTTATGATTACAACACCTGGATTATTGCAGTTTTATCTGATATAAAATTAATAGTGGAATTTATATCCAGCTACTCCTGAACCCTCCAGTATAATATACCTGAAATTTTGCTAATTCTAAGGATTGTTGTTCAATGGGTATCTTAACTTAAGAGTTTTTTATTATTATTTTTTAATTAAAGGCTTTTGAGATATCCCTTGGAGCAATATTTTTCAAGTATTAACATTAGTTTGATTATAACAATATATTTCACTTTCTCATGGTGCCCTCCTGTAAGAACTGAAAATAAGACCCTAAAATAAGATTTCATTTACAGTATTCACAAGGAAGGTCAGAGGCACTGTGCCATACATTAGGGATACATAAGTGACATTAGCTGAGCCATGTTCTTGCGAGAGTAGTACTTACTTTTTAAATCACTGCTTTATGAGAATATCCAGATTCTTTCAGACCTAGGGTCCATCTAGTCCAGTGTAGCTATCTCCAACAGTGGAGAAAATGGATGCCGTGGAAAAAGGAAGACCAGCACAATTGTACAATACTTCCAAGTTTCCCCAAGCCTCAAATCATTTTCAGCTCAGGGATTTTCCTAGATCTGATTAATTTGTTTAATCAGTAACTCTCTCTTCCAAGTACTTGCCCTTGAAAGTACTTTTTTTTTTTTTTGGTAATCCATTAGGGTTAGATCTGTTGCATAAAGAACCACTTCTTTTTGTTTTGAACCTGGCACTTTGCTTGGTGGCCCCTAACTCCTGTGTTCAAATAAAGACGTTGAGCCCTATCAACTCTGTTCTGTAGAGTAAGACCTACCCAAGTCATCTTTTCCAGATTGAAGAGTCTAAGCATACACAGGCACTCCTCATAGCAAAGCCTTTCCTTATTTTTGATCATCTTCATTGCCCCTTTTCTGACACTTTCCTATCCTTGATATTCTCCTTTCCTTCCTTTAGGATGAGGGACTAGAGATATATAAAGAATTCAAAATGTAGATGAACCATCTATTTGCATAGGGATATACAGATTTTTTTTCCCTATTCCTTGTATAATAGATCCTAACACTAGTTTAACTGCCTTAGCACTCGGCTAATATTTTTTGTGGAACTATCCTAACACCATGATCTCTCACCAAAGTAAGAACTACAAGTAATATGACCTAATCCTTTATTTTCCCCATTTAGTCCTGAAATGTCAATCCATGTTGCTTGTAGTGGTGATTAGGTGAGCAATTCTATTGTAAGCTCCTTTTAATTTATAGCAGTATTCCATGGAATTTTCTCCATCTTTCCTGTATTTTAATATGACATCACAGTCATATTAATTTGATAATCACAGTAGGTCACTAATGAAAGCCTTCATTTGATAAAGTTTTCATGTCTTTCTTGTTAATAGATGTCTCATACTGCAACATGCATCTTTCTTAACTCTGAAACCACGGAATGAAGGAAAAGGGATCACTCACAACCCTCCTGATTTTCATCTAGCAGTTTGGTTCATCTTTGATTCAACAAAAACCCTCTCTCCTTAGCAGGCTTTCCTTGATCTGCAAGTAGCCTAGTTTCTACTGAGTCAGAAATCTTCTGCCAGATACCATCTTCTCAGTCAGGCATTACAGCTCTGCCTTTCTACCTTTCTCTCCAGTCCTGCATAGGTA